ATGGCTCCCTCAGGCTCCTGCCAGATAAAGAAGTCAGCAGTATTGACCTCTAGGAACTCCAGAGCAGTGGCAGAAGCGGCTCATGGCAGAAGGAGCGCCCACCTCCCTCTTCTGGAAAAGAGGCAGACGGCATATGTGGCAGAACCTCGGTAGGCTGTGTATGTTACAGCATTAGTGGAAATAAGACCCCCTTGGAAATGAAGGGCCCTCCTGAGAGCGGAGGCAAATCACTGGCCAGTGTAGAAACCCGAGGTGTGCCAACCCAGGCAGGCTTACTTAAGATCCCCCACCCGGTTCCCCGGGAGCACCCCCTCCTCTGCCTGACCACACTAACCTAGGTGTAAGAAGCAGTCCCTTCAGAGAAGGTGCTAGCCTCTCCCTCAGCCTGCCCTCTGAGGACAGGTCACCTGCCAGGGTCCACACTCTGGCACGTCAAGGCCTAGGGGCCTGTGCTGTCATCGTGATCCTGCCTTCAGCAGCATTTGCTCTACCGTGCACCCCAGCCCTCAGCCCGCCGCCCACTCTGGATCAGAGTGTGTGCAGAGTGGAGGAGAGCATTCATTCGCTCTCTGAGTGCAACTCTCTACAGAATCTAAATAGAAGGTGCAGTTACTGAACTGCCAAAGCAGAATTCCTCCTCTGCCCCTAACACAGTGCCCGCTGATTAAAACTCCAAAAAGAGGCTAAGGGGCACCAGTGCTAGAACCATTTAACCAACCACTTACTGTCTCGGCATCATCAGCTCTGAGACCTTGAAGCAAGGGTGTGATGAGAACATCCTACTGGTCAAAAACCCTTGCTGTCCGAAGAGCCCTCATATGCTGCCTGGGACTGCACACTCAGCACAACCCCAAAGGCTGACTGTGAGGGTGGGGGTGTGGCTCGGTGGTAGACCATTTGCCTAGCATGCAAGAAGCCCTGGGTTTAATCGTCCACACTACAAAAAGTTTAAAGGGAAAGACCTTTTGCAAAGCTGGCTGACACCAGCTGGGAGTGTTCAGGGCAAGAAAGCAGCCTGCTGGCATAACTGCCTTCGCTCGAGCCGAAAAGCTGTGTTCAGTGCTGTGTAAAAGGGGTCACAAGCAGAACCTGAGACCCAAGAAACCTCTGCGTGGTGGTGTGGGTCTGATGACTCTACGTCCACACTTCTTCCTCCCCAAACAGCCACCCCTCACAACTTGCCCTCCTGAAAGGCAAAAGCAGTCCTTGTTTCCAGAGAACTACTTTTTTCCCTTCCCCTTTCACTCTCCTTTTTGAAAGAGATGATCTCTAGCGGGAAAGCAACTGTAAATACAGGAGGGCATGCTAAGGGGTAGAAAAAGAGGCCACCCATTCGTTTCTGAGGACCCACTATCTTGTTACTAAGGCTTCTCAAAGGAAGCAACACACTCTATTTCCCACAAAACAATTCCAAGCGAAGTACTTCTCTACAGTGCAGCATCGGGCAGATGACTCCTCTCCACTCCAGAGTGGCTTCCTTCCCAATGACACTGAAACCCTCACACACAAAGCGAGATGGCAATCTTCTTCCTCAGATCCTTAGGAATAACACACTTATAATGTAGTGTACCTGCTACTGAGTATCCATCACCACTACCACCATCAGGGACTGAACCTTGTAAACTGCTGCAACATTTGGGCAAATTTAAGTCAGTATCTTTTAGGCACACTGAGGCCACCATACCTGCTAGATGCGAACAGAATGGTAGAAATCTGAGACAGGTGGCCAGGCGCCTACACTTACTACTTTGCAAAAGCAGCAGCCTTTTTCAAAGGCTAGGGAATCTGGGAAATTACCCACTGGTTTATCTCTCTCTCATACAACAGGAGTGGGGAAGCCACCTCAAAGTCCAAAAATAAAAGATACAGAGGTGTCTTGGAGTTTGTGGGAAGAAAATTCCAATTGGTTTTATTTTCATACAAATTATAGTTTCAATTAAATAGATTTTGCAGCCACACTTTCCACCTAGAATTCCCATAAACTTAGATGCACCCCTAAATTTAAACTAGAGGCCAAGGAATGGCAGCTGGCAGAAAGTGGCCCCAGCCCACAGAAGTTACCAGCATGATCCACAGGCCTACGTGGATCTGAGAAATCAAGAGGATGAGGAAACGTCAATGACACTTAAAATTCTTCTCTCAGTCAGAAGTGTAGGACACTGCCTTTAATTTTGTTCAAGATTCTATTATTCAAAGAAAAAGATGCAACATAAGCTTTTAAGCCCCATCGGTGACAAAGCAAAGATGTTTCTATTTGGAGAACACATTCATATCCTCAACTCCGGCCACACATGGTGGTGCATGCTTGTAATTCCAGTCCTCAGGAGGCTGAGGCAGGAGGACTGCTTCAAGTTCAAGGGCCAGCCAGAACTACATAGTGAGATCTTGTTTCAGAAAAAAAAAAAAAAAAAGCCTATGTTCCCCAGAAAAATCAAATGTCTTTGGTGGTGCTGGGGATCGACCCAGGACCTTGTGCGTACAAGGCAAGGACTGTACCACTGAGCTACATCCCCAGCTGTAAAAAATCAAATGTCAGCAATACATACAAAGCAAATCTCAAACTGACAGGTCCGCTCACTGCTGCCCCGACTGTCCATTCACTTAAGCCATCAGCTTCCCTGTGGCAGGCACATTTCATGCCTTCTTCTGGAGTGAGCCAACACTCCAGATCAGGAGCAATTCGCCTCACCACCATTCCCCAAGAACTCAATCACCATATAGTGATGAATACATGTTTCAGTGAACACCTGCCAACTTCTAGGACAATGCATAGCAGAATGAATTCCAAAGCACAAATCTATCCCTGTCTGCCCTTTCAGCAGGGCATGGTGGTGCAGGCACACACTGCACTCAGGAGGCTCAGACAGGGGGGTTCACCACAAGTTTGAGGCCAGCCTGGGCTGCACAGTGAGAACCTGTCTCAAAAAAGAACAGAGCCTGTATGCCCTTTCAATTTCTCTCAGGTGTTTGTTCCCAGAGTCCTGAAACTACTGGAAAGCTCCCAGCCCCATCCCCAGCCCCTCATCTGCTCTCGGACACTTACGATCCCGCTAGGAATCACAGTCCCTCTCCTCTCTGATGGTTCGCCTTTGTCAGTCTTGTCTTTCCCTATCTCCTAACAGTCTTCTACACACACACCCTTGCAAACTGCACAAAGGCACAGTCCCCAGCCCACCAGGAACCTTTTGTAGAGCTGGGGAGGGTGCACATCCAGACAGCAAACCACCAAGTTGCCCAATAAGACAGGAGCACTTACTTCAGTATTTTATGTGAATATCGTCATGCAGAAACATAAGCTACAAAGCAGTGAAAAAACAGATCAAAAAAATTGATCTGAGCCAAGATAATCAAAGAGGGCCTTAAAACAGAAAGGGAGATCTGAGGACTGGGCATACAGCTCAGTGGCACAAGCACTTGCCTGGCAAGTGCAAGGTCCTGAGTTCTATTGCCGGTACCAAAAAAAAAAAAAAAAAAAAAAAAAAAAAACCTGCAGGGCTGAAAAGTACAGGGAAGGAAAAGGGAATATACAGGAGGGAACTTTCCTTCTAGGGCAGGAATGCTGAAGTATGTATGCTAGAATGGGGGTGGAGGGAGGCCAAGGAGCAGGTAAGAAGAGAAAATAAATGCTGTTTAAAATCATTCAGGGCAAGGGACAGTTCTTACAATCAGTTTCCCTGGTTTCTGCCATCTAGCTGGGTCTGGTTGTGTAGAGAATATTAACTATTCAACTGAATCTTGAAGGTAAGGCCAATTTGTACAGCCATGAAAAGCAGTCAGAGAATTCAGCCTTAGGTCAATAGTTAGTGGGGACCTAAAAATGTTCTTAAGCCGGAAACCCAACTGATCTAATCCCATAGCATTTACTCAAGGCCCTCCAGGAGACCCTATCGTGAGAAGGAACGGCCGTCTCCTGCCTAGTCCCTGGCACAGACAGCTTTCTTCTCTTGCCTAGTCGCCCAGAGATAAGCACTGTTATAGTCAGAGTCTGCAAGGGAATAGAATTAATACAGGACACATAATTTATAGGATTATTTTACAATATTCACCCAAAGAGTCAAATCAGAAGAGTATAGGAGATCGGTCCAGGCACTGGAGACCCAAGGAATCCAGCTGAGGGCCTGGATTCCATGGCAATATCCTCACAAGTCTAGCTGGAGGCGTAGAGCCCATGACAAGCTCTCATGCAAGTTCTGTACCAAGGATCTGCACTGGGAAGGACCAAAGGTCAGCGGTGGAAGCCAGAAAGTCTGTGCCAGCGGGATGAAGGACTTCTGCCAGCAGGCTGGGGCATCTGCACTGGAGCCAGGAAGTGATGCTTAAAGTAAGGATCAGAGTTCCCCCAAAGAGAATCCCAGGCATCCTCAGTGACAGCAAGGACCGGAGCTCCTCCTCTGACGATGAGAACAGCCAAGTTCATATGCCTGGCAAGCGCAAGGTCATGAGTTCGATCCCCAGTACCGGAAAAAAAAAAAAAAGAAGAAGAAAAAGAAAACCATCATGACAAGCTTCTCCAGGAGGATCAACAGCACTCCATCTCCTTTCATGCTGCTGGCCACAGTCCTCAGGCAGGCCTTCCACACCCCGCACCGACTCAGTTCGGCTGGGTGGTATAAAGCTGACCATTAGTTAACCCACCACAAGCACCTTATGAAAGGGAGACTGAAGTAGCTGGAAGTCCATATAAGACAAGGCTGAGGCAGGATGGTGGTGACAGAAGCCTGCAGAAGGTGGCAGAGGCTGGTCACTGACTAGACAGTAAGGGCTCAGAAAGAATGTTGAACAGAGACGAACATTCAGATTTCTAGTCCCAGGTGGTACTATTACCTTCAGGGAAGGCTTTAGTTCAAGAGCTGGAAAGCTCAACCAAAAGCTCAACCCTACTGCCTGTTTCTGGGAATAGGAGTTACACATTCCATCCTTCCCATCTGCCAGTGGTTCTTAATGCTAGCTGTGATTTCCTGTAACTCCCATCTGCAAGGTGGTGGAGGGATCGTGGGAAGATAAGGGGAAAAGGCGCTGACAATTCCTCTGTCCATCACCCCAGGATAAACACATCTCAAGAGCCCTGTGCTACCATTTTACTGGCAGCGCTTATTCTGGGAAGAGAAAACGAGAAGGAAACACTACGTTTTGAAAGCAATGAGGGAAGTGCTCTCCTTACGCAACCAATTTCCCCTTCTAGCCAGAGCCTTCCCAGTTGTGATTAGCGAGGGAGGAGAGAGGAAACCCACAAGCATCCACACTGAGAGCCATGAGCAGCCTCCACGGCGCAGAGCAGGATCCCTCACACTCCAGAACATGAAACCTCGGGGTGAGAGTAACACCACCAATATTATAAACTGGCGTTCCAGTGCTTTCTCTATGGGCACAGACCCCAGCATTTTGATTTAATATTTGATTTGATCCTCACCTCATATTAAAAGGTGGGTACTACTGGTGTTGTTTTGTTTGTTTTTGTTTTGGGGGGCTGAGTTTTTTATTTTGTTGTTGATGTTTGGGGGTTTTTTGGTGCTGAGGATTGAAACTCCAGGCCCATTTGCATGCTGGACAAGTGCTTTATCAGAGTTACACCCTCCGCCCTTTTTACTTTATTTTCTGAGACAGCGTACCACCGCATTGCCCACAGTGCCCTCACACTTCCTAGCCACCTCCGTGGCCTCCTGAGTAGCTGGCATTACAGACGTGTGCCACCACACCCAGCTTTAATAAGCTGAGTCCAAACACAAAGCATATTCTCTGCGCTTGTTTATAAACTGAGTAAGGAACACTTACTTTACCGTTGTGCCTCTCCGTGCTCTAATGAACATCGCTAAGTGTCCACTCACATATGTGAGCTCGCTAATTCTGTCCTTCCTTTTTGGCTTAAATTATTTTAATTGTATTATTCTCCAAGAAAGATGGCTCCAAGCTCGGAAGTCATTTTAATAATTTAATTAAGTTGTGCAGAAATGCTGACGCTTCCTCGGGCAACAGCCTGACCTTTCTCTGCTCCTTCCTGGTCCCTGAGGGTAAGTCCTTGGCTGCTGTCTCCCCCTGGGGTGGGACCACCTGAATAACCTGACCTCCGGGAAGTTCTTACAAGGGCCAGCACGTAGCCAAGAGTTCAGCCCGGCTGGCTCTGCACCGCACCAGCTGTGCCAGCCTAGGCAAACTTTTAAATCCTCTTCTAACTGAAAAATGGGTACAAATAAGCAACCTACTTCAAAGTTACTGTGAAAATTAAATAAATTAATGCATACAAAACACTAAACAGTGTCTGACACAGCAAGTATTCCACACATATTAGCATTTATTGTCAGGCTTATCTTTTAAGAACATTTTATCTGAATCTAGAGCTTTATACTTTTCGCAGCAGTCTCAATTCATTATGACTACATTCAAGCCTCACCATAACCATTAAGTAGAGCGATTCTAAGTTTATGGACATTTCTTGCTCTAATGAAAAGGAACTAGCCGGACCATAGGAGCCATTACTTAACAGTCTCGCACAGCAGGTCAGAGACCTGCCTCTGTGGTCTCCGCACACCACCCCAACACATACACACTAACAGATGCTCAACAAGGAAGTGCTCGTTCAACTGGACTGACTGCAGGGTTGGTCAAGCTCTAAGCAGAGCAACCCTAGCGTCGGAGTGAGAGGCTGGGGACTGGGATTTAGCTCAGTGTGCAGTGCCTGCCTGGCAATCGTGAGGTCCTGAGTTCTATTCCTGGTACCAAAAAAGACAGAAAGGCTGGGGAACAAACCATAATCACAATTTCTGGACACTCGTGGCCAACTTGCACAGAGACAAGAGGGCCACCTTTTCCGGCCTGATTCCAGCCCACCCCTGAGGAAAGGGAACAGCCAGCGGGCCAGAGGTCACGTAGAGGGAAATGTCTGAACTGTCCCCGCACGACCTCCGAGGCAACAGGGAGTCAGGGTAATGCACTGGCATTCCCAGGCCCTCCAGCTGGGCCAAGTGGGGAGCCATAAATGCGGCACTTCAAAGGCAGATATGCTGCCTTGCTAACTGAAATGTGCGTTGCCTTTCAGCAGAGCACAGGCCAGTCTATAAATACCAGGGATTAAAAGGCTTCCTGTGGGGCCCCAACTGCCACCTGCCTAAACACAGAGGCTATCTGGTCCTCTCGGCCCCAAGCAAACCCTAGGAAGCTTCCCCCAGGGAAGAGGTGCCAGCGTCCAGCACTGCGCTCCTCAGAGACGCCGCGGCCTCTTCTCTCCCACTTGAGCATGTTCTTCCTGACCCTTCCCTTCCACACCCTTCCCAGGCCTGCCATTCCCAACACCCTCGGCGGCAGCTCCCACTCCCCTCTCTCCTTTCTCCTCCAGGCATCTGTTCTCTCGCCCTCTCACCCCCTCAGCCCCACCCCAACTTTCCAATCCGCAGGTTCTGTCTGCCAGGAAGGAAACAGACCCTGGAATCAGTCCAACTTTGGTTCTAGCTCCAACGCAGTAAATTACAGCACTTAGTGTTACAGAGCTTGGTATCTCATTCTACGAAGTGAAGACCAGCCCACCTCAGTGGAGCACCTAGCACAGTACCACACACTGAATAACTTCCCGCCCTGTCCCATGCCCCAGGGGATTTAGCTTTCTTCTACTCAGCCATAGCACTCTTTTGGGTGTCACACCTGCTAAATCCCAAAATCTTAACCCGAAGGAGTGACCCAAACCAGGACCGCCCTCATCAAATGTACTGTAGCTGACACCAATTCACACTAGTGATGGTCATTGTGCACCTGCCCCTACAAATGACTCACCTGGACACAGAAAGAAATCGGAAGGGATGATAAAACAGTTCAGAGTGACAAAGCCCCTGCCAGGTAAGGGCAGCCCCTCCACCCACAACCAGAAGCAAGAAACCCCAGAGTCCCACATTTACATGTAAAAAATGTTTAATTAATTCTGACACCAAGAACATCTGCCAGTTTTACTAGAAATACCATCTGCTTCGTTTCTGATAAGGCCCAAGCTCAGCTTTACATAGACTAGGGCCAGTCTGGTTCCCCAAAGGGGGAGTCCTTGCTGACAGCTACCAGGCCGTGTGCCATGCCTCTCTCTCCCTGGTGTCCTGAAGCTGTTCCTGTAAATTAATGATTAGCTCTGAAATGAACTAAAACTCGCTTCTCTTATGAGCACTTTCACTAAAACTTTTAGTCGCCCCCCCCTTAAAATCATAATCAACTTAAGCAAGACTATTTTCAAGAACTTAAAGAACACTAGAGAAATGTAGTGAAGGTCCTCAATAACTGTTTTAAAGGGACTGTCACCAACAGGCCAGGCGGATGGCTTTTCCACTTGTCTGTTTTCAGTACTCAGAGCCTTCACGCCAAAATACATCCTAAGCCCCTTTTTAAAATTTTTTATTTTGATATTTTGACACGGGGTCTCTCTAAGTTTCTAAATTGCCCAGGCTGGGCTTAGATGTGTGATCATCCTTGCCTCAGCCTTCCCAGGGTGCCGGGATTATAGGCATGCACCACCACACCTGGCAGTTAGCTAAGAGTAAGAAGATCCCGTCTATGAAGGAGCTAAGATACTCGTAAGAGCCAAGCCATCAGGATTGAGAACACACTTTTCTAGAGAGGTCAGGTCACCTCCTTAGTATAAAGTATGAAAAAGTGGGTGCCTCAAAAGTAACCCTCTTGTGTCTTTCAGATCTTGCTGAGAATAACTGACTGGGAACCTAGTACCCACCACCACAAGGAGATGAAATAACTCCACAGTGAAATGAACTACAAAAACTATCAAGTGCAAGAGTCTACACAAACACGCAGGCACTTTCTTTCAGACCACTACACAAACTGTGGTGAGTTACCTTCTTAGCATTTCATTGCCTGCATCTGTCCCCAATTGGTAAGCACTTCACGACCCCTACGAAGAAGGCAGGAAAGGGGCCAAATGTGGAAATGCGTGGTAAGAAAATGTAAAGAGCAATGGTGAGAAGTATACTGTAAAAACCAAAGGTGGGCCAGGCGTGTTGGCTCACACCTGTAATCCCAGCCTCAGGAGGCTGAGGCAGGAGGATTACCTTGAGTTCTAGGCCAGCCTGGGCTACACAGTGAGTTCAAGGCCAGCCTGGACGGCATAGAAAGACCCTGCCTCAAACAATATTTTTTTTATTTGGGAAAACAAACAAACAAACAAAAAAAAACAACACGGCATAGCAAGACCCTGCCTCAAACCATTTTTTTTTTAATTTGGGGAAAAAAAAAAAAAAAACACCCAAGGTGGGAAACTTAGGACTTAATCAGCTCAGGCATGAGAACTGAGTCTGGGGACAAGAAGCTCTTGCTTTCGGGAAGCAGTAACTGGCTGAAATTATTCAAGACTTTTTTCCTCTCAAGATGTGAATAGAAAGAAGTGAAGCCTATAGCAAAGCTCAGAACTTACTTCCCACTAAGAATGGCTTCAGCTCCACCTTTCAGTCTCCCAAACACACAAAGAGACATGGCAGCAGCCTGGACATCGTGGCCCAAGTGCACGGGGAAGGTGCGGGTGCTGCGCAGACCCGCCCGGTACGGGAGGAGCACACAGAACCACACAGCGTGCTGGTCAGGGTGGTCTCCAAGGGGAGCCGCGTCACAGAGCCGGCCAGACTTGAACGCGCTGAGAACTGAGCCACAAGGGCAGCAGCGCAGAGCTGCCACCTCCCACCCCAGGAGGACACAGAAGACAGAGAGCAGGGGCAAGCCCCACCCTCGGTCCCTCGGGGTGTGGTCCACCTGGCCTGGAAACGGGAAAGCATGAGGCTCAAGGCTGGCCTTGGCCGCACCAGACACACTGCCCCTCGGCAGCCCTGCTGCGCCGAGCAGCGGTGCCCTGCCGCCCTGCAAGTCTGCAGCCTGGCCGGCGCTCCTGTGTGCCCACCTGCCGCTTGTCCGGGTTTGCCACCGCCCACTGGGCAGAGCCAGTGCAGACTGAGGCCACACAGCGTCTGCTGTAACCCAACACCTGGCCGTAGGAAAGCCACCCAGTCACTGGGCCTCTGTCAGTCAACTTTTTTTTTTTTTTTTTTTGGTTTTGGTTTTTGTCTTTTTGCGACAGGGTCTCACTATGCAGTGCAGACTGGCCTTGAGCTCACTTTGTAGCCCAGGCTGGCCTCGAACTTACAACGATCCTCCTGCCTCAGCCTCCTGAGTGCTGGGACTACCACACCTGCTGTCAGTGACCTTTTTAAAATTTACTTACTAGTCCATGCCTGTGATACAGGACCGCTCTCACGGTGGGTGTCCAGTCTGTATAGGCCACCCATCTTCACTGTTTTCCACATCACCTTCTCCCACTCCTCTCCCCCCCTCCATCTCTCAGTCCCCTGCCCAGCTGTAGTGTATCTATCTCCTTGTTTCTTTCTGTATAATTTGTTTTGCTCTTTATTCATACTTTATATTTCTCACGTGAGAGAAAGCATATGGTATTTTTACATAATGAATACTATGCTGCTATCAAGAAGGATAAATTTAAGTCCTTGTAGGAAAATGGATACAGCTGAAAACTTAATGTTAAGTGAAATGAATCAGACATACATTTTCTTTGTCTATTCATCTGTTGATGGACATCTAGGCTGCTTCCAAGATTTAGCTATTATGAATTGTGTGGACATTGTACTACAATGACAGAGTACAGGCATACCACTGTTTATAGCAGCATGTCCATTAAATGTAAAAGTAGATACAACCCCACCTCAATTCAAGCACAGTCTTGAGGGTAACAGCTTATTTACTAAGCACTTACTGTGTCCCAGGTACCAGGTGAAGGGCATGACGTGTCTCACCTCATCTAATCCTCAGCACTCACTGGGTGTGCTAGACACACTGTGATCCCTCACTTTGGGCTGGAGACACCCACTTTTAAGTCTTTGGCCCACAGACTTAGCTCTGTCCTGCATCCAGACGGAAAGCTCAAACTGACAAGAGTGGGGATTGAACCAAGGGGCTCTGTACCTGAGCTACAGCCTCAACCCTTCTTTTAATTTTTTTATTCTGAAACAGGGCCTCAAAAAGTCACTACACTGCCAGGGCTGGGCTCAAACTTGCAGTCCTCCTGCCCCAGGGTCCCAGAGAGCCGGGATAACAGATGTCCACCACCACACCCCACTTAACAGCACTTCTCCCCCAAACTGCTATCTCAGTATCTTCTAGTTGCCAGGATTGAGCCTCCTGTTTTAAATATCCCATCGTTTGGCTTTCATGATGATTCCATAAGGGGGCACCCTTAAATATAATTTTAATAAATTACTGAAGTTCACACACCAACAGTGAACAATTTGAATGGCATAAAAAGAAGGTTTAAGAAGTTACAGTTCCCTTTTCCTTTGCTCTCAGAGCTTCTCACCCGGTAATCATTAATCCTTCGGCAACTACCCTTCTAGAGATAGGCAAAGTTAACACTTCCATTCACAAACGGTAAAACTGAGGATCAGAGTGGTAAACTTGCTTACGAGCACAGAGCTGCTGAGGGGCAGAGCTGAGACTGAAGCCAGGTCCCGGCCTCCAAAGCCTACCACTCTCCACTGCCTCCCAGCAACCATTCAGCCCGAAAACGGCCCACTTCCACCGCACACCGCAAAGGGGAAACCGCGTCTGGTCCACAGCCAGTCTCACCCTCCGCCCTCCTGAGGAAGTGGGAAAACCAGTATCCAAACACAGCCTGCGCCACGCACATCAGCACCACTGCTATCCCTTCAGCTCCACGCAGCCCTGCAGAAGGCAGGACCGCCACTTCTAACCTCTCCCTGCCCCCACAGATCATCCTAAGCTCTGAGAAAACAACAGGGAAGAGAAGCCTGGCCTACAGGAAACGCTGCACTCCCTGTGACAGAACAGGGGGAAGGGACGCTTCCCTGGGAGCCTCCACAAACTCTGGGGTAAGGACCGTAAAGACCGTTTCCTGTGGAAACGGCATTTCAGGTGGGCTCTCCCCCAGCACTGCTGCTCCAGTCAGAACACACCCACGGGACGGTGAGACGAAGATCCCAACAGCGCCCACCTCAGGGGAGATGCAGGGCTCACGTCCCCACGGCACAGCCTCAGAAGTTCTGGCGTTTTACTGTTTTACCAGATTTCAAGATAGCAGGGTTTTGTCCCCATTGCCTCTCCCTCCTCCAAAAACTAAAGCCCCTTATTCTGTACAGAACACTCTTCCTTAGGACTGAAGGCTATCCTTTCAAACTGTGAACACGTTTGTATCTTTTTGTCCCATCCAGACTGAAACACACTAACATACTACCTTGGGGTACCTCTGCTGAGGTGGGGGGTGAGGGCACAGGAAAGGAGCTGCTGCAACCACACTGCTACTCCTCAGTAAAAAACGTTATCAGGTCCATAATCGCCCAGTGATTCTCCCACTTCCCAACGTGAGTTACCAAAGTAGGGTTGGAGTCCCAGCTGAGTTAGCGTCCCTGATTTACAAGTACAGCAGGTGCTACTAAATGCCTACTGGTTGCCAAGGTCTCATCTTTCCTACTTGTAAAATGGAACTAAAAATCTTCCCCACTGGGCATGGTGACGCACACCTATAATCCCAGCATTCAGGAGGCTGAGGCAGGAGGATTGCTGTGAGTTCAAGGCCAGCCTGGACTGGATAGCTAAACCCTGTCTCAAAAAGACTAAAATAAAATAAAAGTAAAATAAAAACCTTCCTCACTGTGCAGTCTCCCCTTGGTATACACAGGACCAGTTCAGGACTCCCACGGATAATAAAATCCTTGGATGTTCAAGTCCCTTATATAAAATGACACAGTATTTGTACACAACCTACACACATCATCCCACACACACTCAATCATCTCTAATTACTTCTAAGCCCTAATACGATGTAAGTCTAAGTGCTACACAAATAACTGCTGTTATACTGTTCAGGGAGTAAGGGCAAGAGAAAACGTCTGCACATGTTTAGTCTAGACACTATTTTTCCCAAAAAACTTTTCAACCCAAGTCTGGTTGAATCTAAGGATTCAGAACCCAAGGTCCACAGGGCCAACAGTTTTACATCAGATGTTTTATATGAAAGTACTTCGTAAAATGAAAAAAGCTTTTGTTGCTATTAACATGGACACCCAGCCCGCATATTAAACACAGAAACTTTGCACCATCCTCCAGGGTTTTGAAATCTGTGAGGAGAAAAGACTAACCAAAGCACTGGAGAACCACGTTTAAAATGCATAATTAAGTGTTTAACTATGTGGTGCAAAACAATCCCTGTGGGTAGACAGCGACACGGGAAAGGGCCTCCAATAAGTAACTTGTTCAATTTGGGTGCAGATACAGCTCTGCGATACGGTGCTGGCCTAACAGGCACAAGGCCCTGGGTCCAATCCCTAGCACCACAAAACAACACACACACAAACATTGTTCAATCACCAAATGAGCTCTAATGCTTTACTTGAAAACTCTTCACCTTGTCACCTGAGTATCACCTTCCACTACTCCCCCCTCTTCACAGATGACACCACCACCAAAGACTCTGAAGCCGGTTCAGGCTGCTCGTGTGCCATCCTAGAAAAGCGCATCGGTATTGTAACGAGCAGTCCTTCTTCCAAAGATGGGCTTTTAAAAAAGCACACACAGGCTATCACCTGAACGACCCCCAATAGCATGTAATTCCAGAAGCAACAAAAAACTGTTACCAGAAGTGCTCAGTTCGGGAGAAGAAAGAGCAAAGTGAGTCAGCCTGTGTTAACCACTACTGGCCTGCACCTGGACTCACACTGGACCCCAAGCTATTTCTGCACCCCGCAGAGGCAGGTGTCTAAGTCAGCTGTCGGGAATGGCTGACGCTTCCCGAGGCTTTACAATAAAACAGTGCTGGAAACAAAGACCCACACCTGAGAATTAGCAAGGCTGCCCTCCTAGTCTTCAATCATAGCACTTAAGAGACTAGTTTGTTTCTGGCTCGCTCTGCCGAAACATTCTGGACCACTTCCAAATGCCCCTCTATCCTCAGCCCTGAGCGCCACGGCTCCTGAGCTTTCTTCACTCTCTGCCTCCAGCCAGGACTGAACCTGGTCAACGTTAACAACTTTTTACAGCTTTTCACTCAAACCAGGCCTTACTCCAAATGTCTCCATTTTCAGAGTTTCGTTCCTTGTTGTCAGGGGGGGTTCATGGCCTCAAAGCCACCCTGCCCTCCCACACTTTTTATTTTACAGTCTTCTATACCGGGCCAATCACTTATCCACCAATCAAGTGACTGAAAAGGGGGTACCCAGAAGTGGATGAGACAGTCGCTGACCTTGGGGAAATTCTGATGTCAGCCTGGACTCTGGGCCTGCATACGGACGGCTAGTCATACAGCTAAATAAACAGGGACTTACGTCTCTTCAGAATGTAGGACCTCCACCGCCTCAGAGGTTATAAGGTCACAGATAGCAGTATCCAGAAAGAAGATCTCACCAAACAATATTTTTATCTAAAACTGAGGCTTAGGGGAAATGGGAGAAGGGAAAAAGATTCCCTAAGGAATTTACATAACTTATCCTGTTCTTTCTATTCCCTTCTCCCAATTTTTACTGTTAAACTCACCTACTTTTCTTAGTTAAAATGAAAAGAGGCTGAGCTAGGAGGATCACTGCAAGTTCAAGACCAGCCTGAACTACACAGTGAGACCCTGTCTCAAAAAAACAAATAAAAAAAAGACATTTCAGAATCTGAGGGCCGGGGATATAGCTCAGTGGCACAAGCACTTGCCTGGCAAGCACAAGGTCCTGAGTTCAATTCCCGGTACCAAAACAAACAAACAAACAAAACAGAACTTTGCAGAATCTGAAAACATCCCCAGATTTTTTTTTTTTTGGTTTTTCTCCGGTACCGGGAACCGAACTCACGACCTTGCGCTTGCAAGGCAGGCGCTTTGCCGCTGAGCTAAATCCCCAGCCCCACATCCCCAGATTAACAGCTCATTCATTAAGTAAAGCTGGACTTACACCAGACCAAACTCCTAGCTCTAGCTCACTCTACAAAGAAAGACAAGTCGCTTTCCCGTTAGCGAGGCCAGGGGAGCGCGCCAGCCTCCAGCTCAGCTCCTGCCCGGCTGGGATGACTGCGGGCTTGGAACACAGAAGTCACTGAAAAGCCAGAGGCTCAGGCTAAGAGACCCCTGGACCCAACACAGTCCTCCGGTGCCGCCTCAAATGGCCCTCAGGAGTCCCTCACACTGCTGACTCCACGTGGACAAGTTCCGTGCCCGTCGTGTTGTCACACTGTGTGCCCAGCACCCAGCACGGGTATTCTGCCAAACAGATGACCAGATGTACTGTACTTCCTTCCGGTTTCTGAAGAAGCCATCTATCTGCCTCCCACCAGCCCGCTGTCACAGCCCAGCCAGATTACCAGCTCACAAATTAAGACGTGAAGGTGCACGTAAGGGGGAAAGGATGGACCAATGAACTCTCGTGAAACCCAGAGCCTGTTTTTCTCGATATCCTGCTGTGTAATAAGCAAAATTCCCCACCAGGCTGAAACAAGGAGGTAGCTGCCTTCCCACGGCAGTTTCTACCTGGAGGCGGTGGGAAGTCAAGGATTGATAAAGGTGTGACCAGCAGACATACTGCTCCTAATGCTCTGCAAACATCCTGAGCATGCAGACAGCAACCGTGCCCCTCAACACGTCTCCACTCACTGGCTCTCCAGGACCAGGAGAGCCAGCACATGGGCCCAGTCTCCTTCCTGGCTGGGCAGACACACTTAGAAGCGTGTGTACAGTATGCATGTGAGTGAGTGGCTGACTCCACCTAAAACAGGCCTGAGGAAGTCAGACCCACAGCGGTGAAGGGCTCTGGTCTGCTAATAGGGTGGGGTGTGGTGAGGCGGAAGTGGGAGTCGGGGCGGGGGCAGAATCGGCTCACCCAGACAGTTGATTCTCAATCTTCAAGCAATCCTATCATATCTAAATCTAGGCGGCTGACAGCTGCCACTGTGCCACCTAGGCAAGGGAGACCCAAAGGGAAAAATAACAGAACACATCCGGGGTCTGGTGGCATTTTCAAAGTGCAAGGAAGCAAAGCACAGAGATAAAAGGCTCAGCCCACACAGGAACACACATACTTTAAGAACAGTTCTCCCTCAGACAAACTGACCTTAAAAGCTCATCTCTTTGTAACCTCAATTTGACTCAAAACCAGTCAGAAGAAACAGGAGTTCGTTTAGAATAATCTGAACCACATGAGCCCCTGCTGGGCTCCCAGTCCCCTTCCCTGAGACCAGCCCGGAAGAAGAGAAACACTCCACCAGGCTTTTCATCACTCAGGCAAGTGAGGGCTGAGCATCCATTTCTCATTTCTCTTTTCTGCAAAACGAGGAGGTAGAAGGTATGCTGGCACATGCCTGTCATCCCAGCGCCTGGGAAACTGAAGGTAGGTCCCAAGTTTGAGACCAACCAAGACCCTGTCTCAGAAAAAAAAACTGATTCCCAAAGTCTCATCCATCCAACTCTAACATTTCATAAGCCTACAAGTCCCTCTTCACATACTTGCTTTGCTGTACAAGGAGCTTTGGTACCATCCAGATACCTACATCAAGAATCTGAACCTTCAGAATAAGTGTCTTATCTCACCTCACTGTCTTTTAAAACTCCTAGGACTTGGGAACAGAATATGCATTAATAGGCAGGGCCAGTTCCAAATCCCAAAATTCTTGGCAGTGAATGTTAGCAGGAAAAAAGGCCAAAGTGTGTGTGTGTGTGTGTGTGTGTGTGTCTACACTTATACACATTCACACACACAGGAGGGAACTTTCTGGAAGGACCAATCTTGGGCTTGATTCCTAACAGAGGAACGCACATCTCCAGGAAGATAATCCCAACTTCCTTATTTCTGTCTATCTTGTTGGACTCAGATAGTACAAGGGATGTGCCCTATCCCATGTTTCTGAGATGCAGTCATCCTGACTCTGATAAAATGAGTTGGGGACCTGTATATGTGTGCTTTCAAGAGCTTTTAATGGGGATCTAGGGGCACAGAAAGCAAAGTCAGCTGGTGATCACAAATGGAGTTCCAATCAGGGCAAGGGCAGAAGCAGACAGGCCGGTGCACTATTCCTGTAAGGTGGCTGGCTCCGGGTAGAACCACCCAGGGGCAGACCCTGTAACGGAAATGGCACTCTCCGCAGCACCATCTGCACCTTCTGGTGTCAGAGCTGATCTGTATTTTTAACGCTGGGTGTACTCAAAGTCCACCTGGGAAAGCCCTGGGAAAGCTGTTCTAAGTGTGGCTGTTCTAAGGACAGCCGTACCTGCCCTGTCCTCAGAGCCTCTCTCCCTCCCCGCTACCTGCTGGTTGGTCCCCAGCCTCGCAGAAGCAGGTGCACAGAACCCTGGCGTGAAGGTTTTCACAAGGAAAGCTGTAAGAACCATAAGTTACACTTGATAAGGAAGGCTCGCTGGGCTGCACAGTAAAGTTCTCTCTAGTGACAGGATTCAGAACTACAACTACACAATGAGAATTCTTTTTTGAAGCAGGATACATGTACACCAAATTCAAGCACTAGTGCCTCTGCCCACTCTCATGGAAGTGTGAAATCCTGC